AGAATGAAATCATGAATAAAATTAGCAAAAACTAGTCTGTATGACATAATTGTTATGTACTGTGTGTATTTTTCTCATCATATGTGCATTTCACTGAAAGATAACTTTTTATGGAGTTCTTGGGTAGATCAGAAACTTACCTAGAAGTCTTAGTAGAGTTAACTGTCTTTAACGTCAAAAATAGACATTAATCTCATGTGATTTTTAACGAGCCAAAAATGCTGCTGTATGTTTTATATACTGGGGACTTAAGAAGTGTTTTCCATAAAGGGAGTATCAGCCTTTTTGTGCTGAGATAACAATAAGTTGTAGAATTGTTGAAATATTGTCTCTCTTGACTGCCACGCTATTTAACTGCACATCAATGTTCTGTCTTAGAAACATTTGCTTGAATATAACTGCACTTACTTACAAACATTCTCCTCTATCAATGTTTAAACTTTCATATGAAAATATTCTAAGTAAATTTTGATCCGTAGTTATGCAGATACAAATATAAAATTACTGTAGTGAGAAAATTAGTTCAATACAGTAAATAAGTACTTTTTTACATTAAATACTTCTAAAAATCAATTTCTGTTACAGCATTTTAGAAACTTTCGCAGGAAAATCAAGTGGCCAACACTGGGAACAGGTCTTTGATTCATAAATATATTTCACCCTTTTCAGTGCTGAAAAGTTTTGATTAAAATTATATGTGAGATAGAAGAGAAGCTGATTGAGAGAGCAGGACCTGGGAAATCCGATTGCAGAGGTATTGCTTTTTAACATATTTCCATATTCAGCTCGGGTAGAGTATAATTCACACTTATCTATCTTCTGCAATGTCAAGGAAAACAGAACTAGTAGAATTCCTAAGGGAAATAGAATTAATAGGCGTTGATGTTCAACACTGACTTCTCTCTTTTGTCACCTTATTGTTCGGAATAGCCCATTTGCTCACTAAATCCCTAATGACTACTCCTTTAAAAAAGGCCAAAGAGCTGTTTTAGGAAGCATACTTCTGTTTGTGCATCAAAGAAGGTGCTGTGAAAACTAATTAATTACTTACTCAAGTAAGGCAGACCATTGTATCGCTAGCACGGACTTGGCAAACATCATGGATGAAAGCAGGACGGAGATATCAGACAAATACAGTTAGATGCAACAGAAGGAACTAAAACTATTCAGAAGACCAAAACAAGTGATGTTAGTTCTTCATCCATTCACTCATTGCTTCCTAACAAAAAAGAAAAGTTCTGGGGAAGTACAAGTGTGTGTTTAATTGCTGACTTAGCTAATAATCTGTTTCGTGCTGCGGTCCAGTGTTTGTGATCCCTCTGCTTCTACAGTATATTCCTAAAGGGCATTTTAGAAAAGCTTAATTATGCAGAAAGGTCTGGAAATTTTCTGAAATTATTCTGGGAACAAATCCAGAGGATAGTGAAAACTCAAACATATTCTTGCACGTAGATATTGAAAAGAGCTATTGCTTGGGGCAGTGCGTTCCCAAGACAGTTCAGAGTGTTCCTGGGTGTGGTGAAGTCTTCTCAACCTTTGCATCAAATCTTAAAGAAATTTGGTCAGGAGGCACAGCATGACTACAGCAATAATATATTTACACAATATTTCTAATACTGTGATCCCATCTAAATCTGAAGATAATTTCATATGCTTCAAATACAATATAATTGTCACAGGTGTGTGTATGTTAAAGATCTTTTTATGCATGCATGCAAAGCTTGAGCAAATTATGTTCAGTTTTCTTGTAATTAATCTAGGTTGTGTATTTTTCCCTGTGTACAAGAATTATGCTTAACAATAAACTCTTATGATCACATGAAGTTAGCACTTTAAATTGAAGTTGCTTTGCTAAGAGAAAGATGAGCTTCCTGAACAAAACAGTACAAGTGGCAAAAGCATTGGGAAGATTTTCTGTAAATGACATTGATATGCGGGAGGTTTGCACCCACCCTGGATATGTACATGCTGTACACCATACATTTATTGTTCTAGGTGCCCTGTGCATATGCACTTGTTTTGTGGGGCTGCTATCTCTGCTCTTTGGAGAAACTGTGGTTTCCTCTTGAACTTTTCTGCTTTTGCCAACACCTTCTGGTTTGTCTAGCTGCCAAATGCAGCAGCAGGCAGGATGGGGGAGGCTGTGTGAACGTATGGCAATTCCTGAAGTGCATGTGCTGCATCACATCTTGCTAATGGGGGGAGACTGCACTGCTGAGGCCCTAGGGAGTTAGCCCTATGTCTTGCTCACACTTCTACTAAAGCGTAACATTCTGTCCCCTGTGTTCCTCCAAGAAAAGTTTGCAGATAAATCAGCAGTTTTTATGATATAGCAGCTGTTTAGACTTGTCCACATTAATTGTGAATATTAACAGGACATTTTCTCTTTCCCATTTGATATGGATTCGCTTTTTCTGGTCCTGTTTCTGTAGCAGACCGTTTAGTATCTAGCTTCCCATCTGGTTTTCCAAGCTTCAGTTTTCACTGAGCACACTTGTTCTACTTTAGTTAAATGTTTATTATCTTTTATTAATGGGCAAAATTTTCCAAAAACTGTTTTATTAGATTTGCTTGTTTCTATTCAGGATTGCTTTTCAGGAATAAAGTCAGAGCAAAAAGTGGTTTCTAGGAATTTTGGTGTCTGTTAGGGATTTTGGTATTTAACTTGGGCATAAAATGCATGGCAGTGTACAAGAGAAATATAGTTCATATGGAACTATGTCCAGCTTTCTTGGAAATCACAGGGAGACATTTCAGGGATTGGTGCCTTTGAGATAATGACAGCATTGTTAAGGGATAAGAAGACTGGGAATTAGATTGCTGTGAAATAATAGAAGCTGCAGGTCTGAAATTACAGATAAAATTTCATGGCACGTAAGCTTAAGTACAACATGGGTTTCACAAGAAATTGTTGCTTACATTGCAGACTTCTGGGAGATTATACTCTAGATTCTGTAGCACTGGTATCTTCTGTTTCCACTTTTTTACATTCATAAACCCACACAATTTGAAAAATTAATTTTGGTGAATATTATAATGCCTCTAAGTATTCTTTTAAGAGCTTCTTGTTGTTTGATATGCATCATATTGTTGATTTTTAGTTTGCCACTTTTCTGCCTGAAACTTGAAACATTTTCCATACATGATTTCCTATTTTAGGAGAAAATGCTGACTTTAAAATTTCAGTAATGCTACGTAATTGGATAAACCTTCTTTTCTGTCCCTCTCATTCTTCCTTCAGGTATCGATAGGGAACACTTCAAGGAAGATTTTCAAGTGTATGAGGTTATTCTTTGCCAAAGATTTGAAGTCCCACATACCTTTACATTAGGCTTCAGTGGCTTTAAAGGAGTTGAAAATAGAGGAAGCTGGGAGATAGCTAGTTAAGAAGCAAAAGATTGTGTTAACCATTTGCCTATGAGTGATCCTGCAAAGCCTTAGTTAAATTGTTCCTGTGAATAGTTATTCTTATATTCAACAGCCATTGCTTCACGTGTAGTTTACTCCTGAGATCAGACTTAGTTAGCTTAAGCTTGCTGAGAAGTAAGGTGTTTGCAGGCATGCAGGTAGTTCTGTTAGTCTCTCTGTAACAGCTCAACCTGCAGGCCAGTTCAGGCAACCTGGAAAGTAGAGTAGAAATATCAGAAAGAAAAACTTCCACAGTGGTTCCTGGGACTGAATGCTGCCCATAAAAGTATTTGTTCATCTACCAGACTATGAGAAAGCTAGATGCCAAGAAATGCAGTTGAATATCAAGTAGATCAACATTGACATGTTAGTCAGCCCATCAGGTATGTGTCTGCCTGAAGGGTACTGAATATCTCTTTTTCTACAGAAACCAAATAAAAGTATGCAGGTGACTCTCGAAGCAATGCCTCCTATTGATTTCCATGGAAACAACAGCAGGTACAAAGATCACAATAACACTATGATAGAGTAAGTTCTTATCTACAAAACGCTATTTTTCAATGTAGTCACCACAATTAGCCTGGCATTTTTGCCAGTGTTGAGCAAGAGCCTGCATGCCATGCTTGTAAATACCTGCAGCAGCAGAGGTGTCCCACTGTCACTGTCACCACTCATGACATGCATCACCTACCACCTCACTGTGCTCAAGTCCATTGGTTGGTCTTTATCAGCGTTCAGCAAGTGTTGATGAATGTCAGTGGGTGCAATATTTTGTGTATGGGTGAATTCAATTCCACACCTTTGCTTCATAGGCACTTCCATATCAGATGCCATTTTGTCAGTGTGCCCCTCTGTTGCCGTCTGTCACATAACAAGAAAATGTAAAGGAATACTGGTGGGAAGGTACAACCTCTACTGCCATACCACCAACATCCCCTCTGATGTTGTGGCTGACATAATGAAACAGGAGGCGTTACTTTCAGAGCAGCCCTCATAGATAAGGAGAACTGGAAGATATAATAGCAAAAAGAGTTTGTGGGTCTGGCTGTTGCTACATTGTGAGTGTGCAAGGATCTATTGATGCTACAGTTCAGCTATGACAAGTGAAAAAACAGAAACCAAGCTTTAAAAAGAGGTATTTGATTGCACCTGATTGTGTGCAACAAACCTTAAACTCTAGTACTATGAACTCCATTAATAAAATGTTACCTCGTATATCTGCAGTTGAAAATACCATCATACAAGTTAAAGAAATTCAACATCAAAGCGCTTCTGGACAGCTGCTGTGTGTTTTGTGGGCTTCTGTGCTGAGTCTTGTAGCTATCCTAATTTTATCTGAAATGATTATAAATTTGCCTTAATATAGAGTTTTAAAACACTGGAAACCCGTCAAGAAAAAATACATCCTCTAAAAAAGAAATAGTGTGTCCATGTGATCGATGAAGCTTCAAGAAGTTTCATTTGATCCCTTTGGCAGCCAACCTACAAGCAGTCTCTAACAAGACCTTTCTGTGTATCAGACTTTAGGAATTGCTGAAATCCCGAGAAATACAAAAGTAGAAATGAACTTGTTCATATTTCTTTTCCCACAGTGATGAAGTAAAGATCTAATACTTCAACAATGGTGTTGAGTAAGTGCTGTGATTGAAGGGAAAGGTGAGTGCAGAGCTGTCTGAAAACCCTGAGGGCTTTGCCCTTTTCAGTTCAGGTTGCGAATGGTTACTTGGATGAAAATTTGTCCTCCTATTGGCAAAATACGTGTAAGAATCACAGCTGTTACTACAAATACTGAAAATATAATGGCTCTACGCTCTGAGTTCAAATAAGAACTGACTGGCTCTAGCTATTGTTGTAGAATTTAAAACTTTTTCTTATCTACGTATTCCTTCTGTGGCCATAACTGAGGATATCGCTAGGTAGATTTTTTAAAAACATTCAAATGTGTATGAAGGTGCAAAGTTTAATGATATCCCTTTATGAAAATGTTAAAGATAATTTAAACAATGTTGGCATGAATAAAGGCACTATCTGTTTTTTTGTAATGAAGCCATTAGGGTGATGAGCTGCTTGTCTTGATACCAGAAGCTGGTATGAAATAGCCAAAAGCAGAACTTCTTGCAGATACTAGCTCCCCAGAGTTTACAGTACAACTTGATTTGCAAAAGCTTCAGAGCAATAGTAGACTCTCTGATAGAATATTTTCGTATTTGCATGCATATTACTAGCTGTCTCATTCCTTCTTATTTTCGCATACTTGTAAGCATACTTTGCTACCAGAAATTAAATTGAATTAACATCAGTTGTTAGTAAATGCATGGTTGTGCTGCTCCTAAAGCTGAAGGCTTGAAAGTAAGGGATGATTCAACACACTGCCTTGGAAACAACCACTTCAGCTCATTGAAATAAAATTCACTTCTCCATTTATTTCCTTTTATAGAGTATAATTTACCTTGGAATCCAATTCAATGTCTTTGTATTTCAGATTTCACTGATAACACTGTATATTTTCCTATTTACATTAGTTACACTGAGCTTATGAGAGACAGTTGTAGGTTCTGCTTATCTGGTAAACAGTTGCTTGAGTGATTTAATTTACTGAAGTGCAGGGAATGGAGGAAACTTTTTTTTGTCATTGTTATTCAGTATTAGAGGCAATTGACAGACATGTAGGATAGCTGGACAAAGTGGCAACTTTCAGCTCACTTTGCATTGAAATAACATCATTTTCCACTTTGTTTTAAATAACATTTCATCTCACACTGTACCGTTCCAAGGAGGCGTCACTATTGTTTTCAGTTTTTCTGCTGTCTTGTGTCCTCTGTGGGTTGGGGCTGCATGTCTTGGTTATTTGACAAGCTCCTGGTGTTGGTGCAGAGTTCTGATCAGAAAGAGAAAAGGCTGTGATTGTGCTGAGGGCTGTCATGAAGAGGTATTGGCAAAACCAAGCAGCATTCTGCATTTTCAGTCTGCAAGTTTCACAAAACAGTTATTTGGCTGCCAAATATCAGTCAATTTTCATCAGCTGCATTGAAAGAAAAAAATAATATTGTTCCTGTAGGCATGATGGGCTGGAAGATTCATAGCAATATACAACTAACTTTGTGTTTTCTGAGCTGTTCCTCTCCTTTGCGTAGGTGGTTCAATGTTGTTGTCAGAACTCCGGTGTAGTTCACAGGCAGGATTCTTTCTGTCATCTGCTCAGCAGTTGCTGGCCCTTACGATCTAATGCCAGGAGTGGAGGAAATTGTTTGCAGTCGTGTGAAAGTGCAATGGCCCTGGTACAGGGCTGTCACTCAGTAGGGTGAGATGGGGAGCTTCCTTGCGCCTCCTCTTGTGGCTCTGCATTTCCACACAGCTTTCTATCAGGCCTTGAAATTAAACGGATACTTGAAGCAAGAACTGACTCAGCTGGTACTGACACAGCTCCAGTAATATGTGCAACCTCTTTTGTAAAATCTGCTGATAAAACCTTGCTTCTGTTGGAGTTGATGGAAAGGTTTGAAGGCAGGAAGACACCAGAGACTTGAGCAGGAGTGGAGTTTCCCCTTTTAAGACTTTGGCTTACAGTATGTAATAGACTTGGTTGAGGAAGGGGTGGTCCAGGAGCATCTAGATGGCATCAATGTGCCCAAATCCATGGGCCCTGATGGGATGCATCCACGTGTGCTGAGGAAGCTGGCAGAAGTGATTGCTGAACTGCTTTCTATCATCTTCGACAGGTCTTGGAGAACAGGAGAGGTGCCTGAAGACTGGAAGATAGCCAGTGTCACTCCAGTGTTCAAAAAGGGCAAGAAGCAGGATCTGGGAAACTACCAGGCCAGTCAGCCTCACTTCTGACTCTGAAAAGGTGATGGAAAAGCTTTTTCTGGATGCCATCTCCAAGCAATTGGTAGAAAAGAAGGCTATCAGGAGTAGTCAGCATGGATTCACCGAGGGAAACTCATGCTTGACAAGAGTCATAGCCTTCTGTGATGGCATTACCGGCTGGGTAGGTGGGCAGTAGATGTTTTCTACCTTGACTTCAGCAAAGCTTTTAATACTGTCTCCCATGACATCCTGAGAACGAAGCTGAGAAAGTGTGGGATAGATGAGTGGACAGTGAGGTGGGTTGAGAACTGGCTGACTGGCTGAGCTCAGAGGGAGGTGATTGGTGGTGCGGAGTCTGATTGGAGACCTGTGACTAGCAGTGCTCCCTAGGAGTCAGTACTGGGTCTGGTCTTGTTCAATATCTTCATCAACAACCTTGATGAGGGGATAGTGTCCACCCTCAGCAAGTGTGCCAACAACAAAAAGCTGAGAGGAGTGGCTGACACACCTGAAAGCTGTGCTGCCACTCAGCAAGACTTGGACAGGCTGGAGAACTGGGCAGTAGGAAACCAAATGGAGTTTAATAAAAGCGAGTGTAGAGTCTTGCACCTGGGAAGGAAAAACCACAAGTATGAGTACAGATTGGGATGTGACCTGCTGGAGAGGAGCTCTGTGAAGCACCTGGGAGTCCATTCTGATGGACCATTCTGATATAGTGATGTATTTTTTCATCTCCTAAAAAAATTATTGAAGGAGATTTTCATTTAGGAATTGTTTCATATCTCAATAAAATTTTATATGTATGCATATACTTTTGCTCTCCTGAGAGAAATGTCAAGGAATCACCTCTGTTTAAAGCTGACCAATTCTACTGAAAGTGCTTTATTATTCACTATAAGAATACGTTGACTGAAGGGTTATTTATTATAATATATTCACAGATGCTTTGTTAAGTAAAGTCTGAAATGTTTCAAGGGATGCCATTTCCAGCACCTTCTTCTGAAGACTCCTGATAATCAAATAGGAACATCAGGTAGAACTTCTTCCTTGACTCACGTCCTACTTTCTATCTGCCTGTTTTCTTTTAAACTCTTTTTATAAGGAAAAGCAAATTATTGATTGCACTGCTCTTTTGTTCCTCCTGCTTGTTTAACAGTCTTATAAGTAATTTCTGAACCTGGTAGTCAATTTTAACTAAATTTGACTGAGGATTAGAGGTCTCAGAACTATTAAGGTCTTATGCATTTCATGAAAATTGATGCTGAAGGAGAGAGGCTCAAGTTAGTGCCCCAGTGAGTGAAGTTCAGTTATGGCTTGCCAGGGGAAATCTGCATAACTGATTGCAAGTTCACAATTGTAAAGTTAAACTCAAGTACTGGCTAGCTCAATCTTTCAGTGAACAGTGGTGTTTGGTCTGGTATTTGTTGTTATCATTTGTCGTTCTTTCTTTTTAAAGTTTTTGCAGAAACGATTTTTATATTCTTGTGTTTGACTCCCATTTGGCTTTGTGGCAACTGAATTTCTTGCATTTTCAGCAAGAAGCTGGAATTTCTAAAACTGGAGCTGGAAATTCTAAAGCTGGAGTTCTAAAACTGCACCGAAATAGGTGGCTGATGAATTTCAGATGCTTTCGAAGCAGTATCCTATATGTTAAGCTTGCAGTTCAGAGATAACTGGCAGGTCACATTCTGTGATTAGTTATGAGAAATCTGCAGAAGTTATGGTTTAGTTCACTTCCAGTTTAGATTGCTCATTAAAATTTTTATTGGATAACTGAAATGATTTGTTTCAGAAGGAGTTAATGAAATCCCTCCCAGTAATATGTTAGGATAATTAAGGATTTCTATTATTGTAATTTATATTGCTTTAAATATTTTCAACATGCTTTAATTTCATTTCTTGCCAAAGAGTGCTCTTATTTTCATAGCATCAACTGGTTTTATCTGTAAAAGAGCATTGTAGTGTAGCTTGGAGTCCATCTTTATTCAGGCAGTTAATCTTTATTATGACTAATAACGGCTTTTAATCTCAATTAGTCCTCGGGGAATGGAGACATAAATGTTTGAACAAATCTCCTTATTAAACCATTTGCTCTGTGACTAGCAGTCACCTGAATGGTGCCAATAAACCTGACTGATATGTGTTCCCAACCTGCTGTAGGAAAGCAGAATTCATAATAACGTATTCACAGGCTTTCAGACCAGTACTTTGTTGCCAGAGAAAACAATTTACAGCCATCTGGCACTACACTGGCCTTGTAGCTTGATTTCCTAGAACTTGACACTTCATCATGCGGCTCATACTCCCCTACATAGGAGGTCTGGAGCTACCTGTGTTGGCTGGAACGGGCAATGCAGATAAAGATGCCATGGGGATAATGAGCATGAAGAGGTGGAAGAAGCTGTTTGCACTCTGCCTACCTTCCTGGTAGGTCAAACTGGGTCTCAAGGCACTGCTCTCTCCTAAGTTTTCCAAGTTTGTGCTGAATGTGTAGCTCAGGTTCTAGAGGCTACGTAAGTAGCCCACTGCACACTCACCTATTGCTTCTTCCCAAAGAACAGCTGAACAGAACTGGTTCAAGTGTTCCTTCTTTGCACTGGTGTGCCAGGTGACACAATCATGGAATTCCCTTCACTATTTTCCTTTGCAATTACAGATCCAAGAATGGCTTTGTCTTTCTTCTCAGATACCCAGGAGTTTCCTATTAAGAGAAAATGGAAGAGTTCCCTTTAAAGAAACTAAGATGTTCTTAATACACTTATGCTGTTAGCTGTATGCACTGTAGACATAATGTGTAGCTCATAGACTATCAAGTGAAGAGTAGACTTACCCAGGATTTTCAGGACTGCTGCACTCTGAAACAGACTAGTTATATTTAGTGTTTGATTTTTCTGAGCTTTGTATGGTGCCTCATATGGTGCTCTGGCTGTCCTATACTTTGCTGGATTTTCTGTGGGTTTTTCTCATTAAGTGCAGTGTGCAGGTTGAACAGCAGTCCACAAGAATGGTGGTTTCATTAAATAAATCTTGAGGCGTGGATTGCAGGCTCTGGGATATGACAGAGAGCAATGTGGAATAGGGGTGATTAAGCAAGTCCCATGAGTATCCATGCAGTCCTCTAGGAGCAACGAACAGTGCATTTATGCACAGAGGGACACATGTTTTGATTTGAGGGGAACAAACTGTTTTTCTCCAAATGAAGGCTGGAGAGTAAGTTATCATTTATTCATTGTTGATCATCAGGTGACTTGGGAGAGCTGTATGGACCAGTTCCCACGTGATACAATCTACTGATATGATGTCATATCTGATGATATGATGTCATACTGTGGTACTGCATGACAAAAAGGACAATACCCAGCTCCCAGCTCCCGGGGCAGTTTTCAGGAGTGGTTATTGCTTCCATTACAAATTATCAGATTTCAGCAGGTCTGGAAGTTACAACCTTTGCTATTTTTATGGTCTTGGTCATGAGTCTAACCATAAGGAAAATACTGCATGGCTTAAGACATTATCTTGACAGAACTTTTTTTTTTTTTTTAATCATCTCTTTGTTTATGATCATCATTTTAGAACCCCTTTTGCCATTTCTGTGATTTTGTAATACTGTACAGAAAGGCCTTAACTCATTTCAGTTCTCTCACCATTGCTAAATGAAACTATTGTTTCAGATAGTGAAAATAAGATCCATTGGGTATTTGGATGCTTCTGGATACTGTTTTCTGTCATCACTAGCACAGGAGTAATGACTAAGCATCATACTGGCTCTGAGTCACAGAGGACTAATGTCTGAATTCATACGTGCTTCCTTGGAAGAATCATCACAATCATTTCATGAAGCTTTTCTAATAATAGGTTCATTAATGTGTCCACACACGGAAGAAGTAAAAATTGGGTGCTTTTTCTACAGTTTATTCTTTTTCACTGAGAAAAATGTAGAAGGCATCATTCGTCAACCCAAGTCATCTTTCCACCCTTCACACTGCGTGCCCATGTTAACACTGTAGGGCAAATTAGGAGTGCACTTTTGAAACAAAACTTCCAGCTGTCCATCTTGACTGTGCTCTGCTTCTCAATGTCTTGGAGTATATGGACTACATTCATTTGGGTTAAACTAAACTGGAGGATGGACTCCTAGAACATACCTAATACTTGCCAGCTACAAGTAGGGCATTCAGCATATGGGGCTTGTCCAGAGCTCCTCCAGAAGTCCTTTTAAAACAAAACAAACAACAAAACCCTTTGTGCGTACTCTGTGGAATTCAAGTCTTCCATACCAAGTGATCTGCTCTACCAATTCTGTCCTCTTGCTCTTTTGTTAATGTGGAAGCCACAGTGCACAGTGCAATACTAAATGCTTTTAAGGAAAAGAACAACACAACAGAAGAACCATTTGTCTTTGTTTCTTCTTTATCTGTTTGAAAAGTAGTTTTGCTTCATGATCTCCTAATGGAACAAGGATGTGTGGGCACTGTGCCATCTTGTGTTGGATATCTAGCAAACCACTAAGGCACTGAACTTTGTCTAGACACATATTTGTAATGTATCTTGTACATCACCAAGAATTAAAATCAGCAGCTTTTTTGTGTAGAGGGAGAATGGGGAAAGCAGAAAGTGTTTCAGATGTGTGTCACTTGTTCTTTCATTCATTTTTTATTCGTTTCAGAGGAGTTACTCGAGTTGCACTGTTTTAAACAATGAAAAGGTCTATGTCTTGCTGTCACTTTTTTCTTTATGTACCACCTAATACCTTTGAGGTTATTCAAATAAATGCACTCAGTTCTATTTTCTTGAGTGTCCAATGGCTTAATCATGCACATAAATGTGTGGATGATATTTATTTGACTGTTAATCTGTTAGTCTTTTTGACTTCATAGTAAAGCATACTCTCTTCTTTCCTTAAGAAAAAAAAATAAATGAAAAAAAAAATCGTAATGCTGCAGTTGAGATTTTAAACACACAAAAGTCAGGGCATTCAAAATTATGACTCCCAAGGGCTGTAGCACAGACATGTTGTGCATGTGGTGTATATTAAAACAGGGATTTCCTCTCCTCTCTGTACTCTCTTGCGTATTTTCGTCTTTTAGCTTTTTCATACTGGCTGTGCGGGAGCTGCTCTGTGGGACTGGATCGTGCAAGGGCCCAGACGACAAACAGGGGAGTAGATTCCCTGCACATGAGACTCCTGTTCCACCCAGCAGCCAAGGAGCACAGCAAGGAGAGGGAGCGCCTGGGGACAGCTGCTGGCTGTGCAGCAGCACTGTGCGTGGAGCGGCTGGGATGGCAGTGCAATGCCGAGTCCTGTCTCCACTCAGTGCTGGTGTCACGCTAGCTGTTCTCTGCTGTCCATATTGTAGCATTATCCTAACAGGACGTTTTTATTTTTCACTTGCGCTACTTGTGAATCTCTTCTTTGGTGTCTCCCATACGTGTTGGTTATACAGTAGAATAGAAGAGTTCAGTTGGAAGGAGTCTTCGAAGAGCATTTAGTCCAATTACCTCTTCAAGGCTAACCACAAGATAAAGCAGATTAATGAGGGCATTGCCCTAATCCTCTGGAAGGCTGACAGCATGGGGCATCAATGCCTCTCAGGGAGGCCTGTCCCAGGATTTGGCCACCTTCATGGTAAAGAAATTTTTCCTGATGTCAAGTCTGATCCTCTCCTGGCACAGCTTTGTGCCCTTCCCACACATCCTGTCATCGCCCCACATCTCCCTCTGCTTCCCCTTCCCACGAAGTTGCAGAGAGCAGTGAGGTCACGTCTCGGCCTTATCCAGGCTGACAGCCCAGTGTCCTCAGCCTCTCCTCACAGGGCACACCTTCCTGCCCAGTTAGCAGTTTGTTGCCAATGCTGAATGCTTTTGCAGATCTTAACTTCCTTTTTAAACTGCGGAGCCCAGAAGAACTGTGCAGTAGTCAAAGAATCGTTAGGTCTTCATTCACAGGCATGCTGTGAGTATCACAGATACTCCACGAATGATGCATTTCTCAAGAATCAGATGACAGTGAAGTTGACTGATGGTAAAGGCTGG